ACCTCTGGGGGTACTGATCCAGGAGTTTCCTTGTCTTCTGGATTGGTTCAAAATTGCAAGGCTACGGAGTTGAACGTAAGTAGTCGTAAACCCATGAAATTGGGTCGGCTGTTCAACGACGGTTATAAAATAAAATAAAATAAAATAGACCCCCTCCTATAAAAGAACCAGAAAGAGATGGAAAGACTGCGTGGATAATGGGCCTGAAAGTGAAGAACCATCCTGAAAGTGAAGAACTGATGGAGATCAATTTCTGGGACAAGAGCAGATTGCGCAAAGCTTTCAATGAAGGCCCACAGAGGGCTGTCGTACCAGTGCTGCATATGAAGATGAACAAAAGCACTGAGTTAAAGTGCTATTATTTTACCACCGAAATCAATAAATTATTTTGCAATGATAAAATATATTTTTTCCCCACAAAAGTAATAATTTTACAAAACACTGACACTCCTTTAAATTGAATTCTCCTCGAATTCGAGTTTTGAAATAATTTTATTCGCAATTTAAATATCAGTATAATAAGATCTAAAAGCAAGGAAACTAAAACGAAAGGGTAAAAAAAAAAAAGCGAGGATAGAAAAACAAAAACAAAGAAACGAAAGTGAATACCAGCAGTGTATTTAAGCTTATGTCAAAAACTTTGATTATATAAAAACTATCAATAAACAAGAGCCCATGACTTTTATTCTTAAGCAAAAAAAATCATCACAAGTTCAATAAAATAAACAACAGCATATGACTAACGATAAATGTTTTTATTTTTAGGAAAACAGAGAAATTCCCGTTCCACGACCTAATGGTAAGAAAATATTAAATTTAAATCATCAAGACTCCAAATATGTATTTAGATAATATTTTTTTTTATAAATTTGTGTTTTAAAAATGGTTAGAATCATTCTTTTGATGGAAGAGTATTAAGTTAGATTAGATTTTCCTCTACTTCAGAAACATTTTAATGTATTTAATTCAATTAGATCCTAAAAGATAAGAGCAATACAGCTGAAAGCTAAATATATCAGAATCATTCTTTGATGAAAGAGTATAAAGTTAGATTACATTTTCCTCAGCTTCAGAAATATATTAATGAATTTAGTTCAATTAGATTTTAAAAGATAAGAGCAATACAGATGAAAGCTAAATATATCAGAATTCTTCTTTTGATTTAGGAGTATAAAGTTGTAGTACATTTTCCTCAGCTTCAGAAATATTTTAATGTATTTAGTTCAATTAGATCCTCAAAGATAAGAGCAATACATATATCAGAATTATTCTTTTGATGGAGGAGTATAAAGTTACTCGTAGATTACATTTTCCCCAGCTTCAGAAATACTTTAATGTATTTAGTTCAATTAAATCCAATTATTTATATTTTAATATATGAGGTAATAGTGCTAATGAGCTAATTTTAATATATGAGAAAACTAAATATATCAGAATCATTTTTTGATGGAAGAGTATAAAGTTGTACTAAATTTTCCTCAGCTTCAGAAATATTTCAATATAATTAGTTCAATTAGATCCTCAAGGATAAGAGCAATGCAAGTGAGAGATAAATATATCACTAGATTTTAAAAATTGTTGTCATAGTGTAACTTTAAAAAAATTAAACTCTAAGATTAATAAGTTTATGATAGTGAGCGGATATGATCATGAAATGAATTAAATCCCATTTCAAGAAAACTGGATGGGGAAAGTAAACTTTGGATAACCACAGGCTACTGCGCCACTGAGTTTAGCTTCAATCTCATTAATTTTATTATTTCGTTAGTTCAGCTTAATAAATTCACCCTTATATTTGTCGTTTTAAATTGTATTCAGAAATTTTATTGTTGTAAGGCTTTTTTGTATTCAATTTTTAGGACTTACAACACTGGTAGCTACGTGGGATCATTTGCTTAAAAAAATGACCACAAATTAAATAAGGTTTGGTTGTTAACATCGCACACTTATGCGATATAGCACTATAGTCAATCACCAAGATTCACTACTTATATAAGAGGTGGTCTGCGGTTCCTCATAATCATGATCCTAAGACTGGCACGTACTACACAAACACAATTCAGATCAGATGGCAGATGGTAGTAATTCACCGGTCTCCGCACCACGCTCTCCAACAACCCACCCGTGAACTATTATGACACTGAGATCACCATGGGCATTAGATTAGATTGAATTCTGAATTACCAAACTAGTAAAGCAGCAGGTGTGAAGTCAATTGCAAGAACAGCTTTAAATACTAAATTCTTAAGTAGAATTAAACTGTAGCATTGTATTGTACTGCAGATTGAGTGTAGCTAATTTATTGTATTGTAGTGCTTAACACTTTTTCATCAAACTTTTTTTTGAAGTAACATTAGAAAGGAAATTTCTCAAATTATCTTATATTTTTATTATTTACCGTTTGTGCTTATATCCAATAATTCATAAATGATTACATTAATTTTCAGAGGTTCTGCTTAAAGTTCACTATGTTGGTATCTGTGGCTCAGACATTCATTTGTGGAAAAAAGGAGGTTTTGGAGATTTTTTGGTGAAGGAAAACATAGTTTTGGGCCATGAAACAAGTGGAGTTGTAATTAAAACAGGCGATAAAGTCAAGCATTTAAAACCAGGTGAGCCTGATTTTATTCTCTTTTAATCTCTACTCTATAAAACTCAAACTCATTTTCCAATGACAAATTGATTGGAATTTTCTTTCGAATTTAGTACAGTCTTAAAATATTTTGCTGTAGGACATGAAATAACATGCGTTTTAACTATAAGAACAATCACAGCATGGAAAAGATAAAACATAAAGTTACATAGAATCGAAATCAGTCGAGTAATTTTCCAGAAATCAAGTTTTAAAAAATGCAGATACTTAAAATTCAATTCCTCTGGAACTTTTCGACCAATTCCTTTTTATTTTCGAATTTTTTAATAGAAACAATTTTTTTTTGTCGTATGCCTGTTTAGGCAGTGTGGGTGTGATTGTTTCTGTTTTTCAGTGGCGCCATCTATGGGCAGGAATTCGACTTCTGCACACGGCATTCACACAACCACAACCCGTTTATAGGGCGGGTCACATTCACACACATTCGCACACAAAGGAGAAAGGACATAGAACACACAGAGAGAGAAAGAAACATCCATACCATGTCCGGGATTCGAGCCCAGGACCTTTCTGTGGCAAGGACAGTTCCCTGCCCCCTACACAGGCCGGTCGGCAATAGAAACAATTGCATACAATGTTTAAAATTATTTAAAAAATTGTATACTTCAAAACTCAAAATTTTTTCTATGAATATTAAATAAAATAATCAAAAATAGTAAATGATTATTAAAAAAAAATTCTTGGAATTGTCTTCAAATAAACGAATTTTATAATTGTATGCAAAAATTTCTCAATTATCTTCAAAAGTTCCTGAGATATGGTGAAAGAGGTGTTCAAACTTTCGAACGCTCTGTTGACCAAACTATTTTGACCATATTTTCTAGATTCCGTCTATCTCCTATATTTAGGGGTTGAGAAATCGGAGTCTGTCGAAAAAAAGGTAACTTAAAACATCATCTGCACAAACTAATTAGTATATTGGAGGTCGCTCCCTCAAACCGTTCAAGTACGTGACGATCTGATTAAGTCATAAATTATTTAGTATGCTTCTTTCTTTCCTTCTTTTTTTGTGCCCTGCACATAAAATGCATACGAAAGTAAACGTATAATTTCGTATCTAATAATAAATTTAAAAGATAAATAGAATCCAAAACGTCATATATTTAAATAATTAATTTTTGAAAGAAATTGATTTTGTACTCGCAATCGTAAACGATGTTTACAGTCAAAATTTCGAAAAAAATGCTAGCTCAATAGAGAGATTAAAAATTTTTACCTCTCAAAGATATTTTAAAAGGTCATGCCATTTTAGATTTACCTTATGCATTTCGGCAGAAATTAATTTAATTATTTATCTCCTTATCGCAGTCATTTTTTGGTTGCTGAATCTTGATGTATTGGTGTGGGAAATTTTGAGAAAACTGAAAAGGTTTATGATTTAAAATTCCCAGAAATTGTAATCTGGACATATGATTAAACATATGTAACTTCCAATCTGTAAGTCAAATATAAATATGCAACATGAACTTCCAATGCCGAAACTTTGTGTGATTTCGATGAAAACACATTCGGGATATTTCCATTCGGTCTAAAGGTGATTTCTTCCAGTTTACCACAATTTCGTTTAACGTATTAAGCATTCTAACTTTCATTAACTTTCTTTAAATTGTATTTCAGGAGATAAAGTATGTGTAGAGCCCGGAGTTCCTTGCTCAAAATGTGAATTCTGTAAAAAAGGAAGGTATAATCTCTGCCCAACAACAAGATATGACGATCCAACAGCAGAATTCGGGTCGCTTTGCCGATATTACTGCCAAGATGCCGATTACTGCTTCAAGTAAATTTGTCCACGAAAACTTTTTTTGTCATTTACTATATAATGTATAAACTGGGTGCCTAATGATGCCCTTTCTAAGCATACTTTTTTAATTTTTGAATGTCTGCAGTTATAAGAGACCTATAAAATGGTTGCTAAGTGTGGTAAAGTGGTTCTACGCTACAGGTTAAGACGACTAATTGTGCCATCTGGTGTAAAACTGCGGAGATCGCGTTTTCATCTCGAAAACGGTAATTGGTAAATTGAACATAAGAAATTTTGTAAATCATCGCTTATTTGATACGTATGCGATCTTGTGGAAACTTATGTTAAAAAAATAATAACTAAATAAATAATAAAATTTTAAAAAATACATACATAAATCAATAAAACGTTTCACAAGTACGATGACAATCTTGCATCAGCACGTGTGTCATTAAAGTAGCATTCCACGCAGCGTGAGATTATCAAAACCTACACATTTGCTTCTTTTTTCGGTGATTTCAAAAGAAGAAAAAAACAGCTAGTTATCACAAATACCTGATACTTAGGGAATTGAGCTTGCATTAAAGTCCACAAGGTGTCTATAAATCTACGATTTTTAAAACTTAATAGCATCATATCTTATACAATTTTTTAAAAATAGAAACGTAAACTGTACAGTTTATCTATAGGTGGCCCTAAGAACCGTTCTACACCAAAACTTCACATTTTTTTCTCTCGCCATACAGGTTGCCAGACAACGTGAGTTTAGAGGAAGGTGCTTTAATAGAACCCCTTTCAGTTGCTGTATATGCTTGCCGAAGAGCTGAAGTCTCTGCTGGAAAAACCATTCTTATATGCGGAGCAGGTAAGGACCGGACATAGAGAAGGGCTACTGAGGCTTTAGCCAAATTTTTTTGAGCCCCATATAGGTCCTAAAATATGTGTCTAAAGTTTTTGAAAGAAACATCGATTTCGCAATTTTCTAAAAATTTGATAGACATTTTCAAACTCTCATTAGAATGATTAAAAATGTATTATATAATTTAAGTGTCAAATTTGGAAAATATAAAGCAAAGCTGGACTTGTTGTTTTCCTTCATCCTCATCCAATTGTACCCTTATTCGACTTCATAAGTTTATCGATTTTTTTCCCTTTTTTTCAAGCTAGGAATGCTTGGTTTTTCTTACAAACTTTCCGTAACCATCTGGATAACACTTAAAATTTTATGCTAATAATTTTCTGCTGATAATTTTGCACAATTATGACAAATTTAAAAAGAAGCAAAAAGCATTCTCGCAACAAACTGCCGTGGCCACGAAAATCATGGAGTTAATCTCCAGCATTATAGGGTTTTCGACTAGCGACTAGCGACTAGGGACGCTTCCCCATTTTGACCTCTGTTCAGAAGTACACGCATAAACAGTTCATAATAGGGACGAGCTCCTAGCCCCGTACAACGACATCTACAAGCATGAGTTCCTATTTGTGACAAACGGCATGTTTGTAAAAATGTGGTCTTTATTCTTCCCAAACTAGCTGGTACCTAACGATCTGAAGTTGCATGGGCTTCAAATCACTGCAGCAGATCAAAACAAAGTTCTTCACAATGATAGTTCAGTGCCTTAAGTACTGACATATCGCGGCTCAGCAAATTTAATAAAAACGAAAAATTAGAATTCGTTTCTTTTGACTTTTAAAATTTATATGTTTAATAGTTCAAACTACAAATTAACCTTGATAATTTCTTACAGAATGTTTCTGCAGACATAATCACAGAATCGTATTTTAATGTTTAATGCAAATTATTTAAAAAAGGAAAAAAAAAGCTTTTATTTTTCGAATATCTGTAAGACAAGTTTAGCCGGAAAGAAATTTTAAAGCAAGTTGCAACATTTCTGAATATCGGTAAGGTTTGGTTAATTTTGATATAGATAGGGGTAGATGTCCAATATACACATCAACGACAGACCCCATCACATCTTTATCCAATCCTGAGTAAGAAAATACGGCAACTCCAATGAATTTCAGGGTGTCTTGTAATCACCGTGAATAATGTGTACTTTTAGAATCATACATTTCACGGTTTGCGAACTAATGCTAAAGTCAGAAAAAAACGTTTTTGAACAAATCGGGAGAACAATTATCAAAAAGCAATTAAAGCAATAAAAGGTTCAAAATTATCCCAAAACTGGTTTATTTGTTCTGAACATATTAAACATCTTTGTCCGTTGTTGAGACAGCTTTGCTTTGTGCTTTACTCAACAAATAAAATTTTTTCTTAATATTTAAATTTAAAATATTCTTTGTTCTAATTAACCACGAAAATAATTAAATGAAATTTAGATAAGTTTTTGTTTTGTCTTCCGCTTAAATATTAATTCGTAATCTCTAATATAAATCCTAATAGTGTGAACATTAAGTTTTAATTTTTGCAAATTTTAAGGGTGTTTATTATGGAGTATTTCCCAAGCGCTTAACAACTATACACAGTAATTATACATAGCAAAAAAAGTAGTAATTCCATCAAACTATCATAATATTGAAATAATTATCATGAGCGGATCCGTGAGCGGATCCAATTCCCTTCTGGAACAAAATTTTCTTTTGCAAATCCGAAATTCAATACAAAGATACACTGGTGTTCAAACGTTTTGCATACTTTTACATTTACGTCTAGGGTAAAAGTATGTTTAACTTTTGGTGACGTGTGCTATTTCATGTCACGTCATGGAGACCACATAACATGTTTTTAACATAACATGTTACGCATTTAAATAGTTAATGCTACTTAAAATTTTTATATTGTTCCATAGTAAAATTTAAATTTTTTCGTTTAAACAATTGATGCTACCTAAAATTTATATATTGTTCCATGGTAAAGTTTAAACTTTTTCGTTTAAACAATTGATGCTACCTTAAATTTTTATATTGTTCCATTGTAAAGTTTAAACTTTTTCCTTTAAACAATTAATGCTACATAAATTTTTATATTGTTCCATTGTAAAGTTTAAACTGTTTTGTTTAAACAATTAATGCTGCCTTACATTTTTATATTGTTTCATTGTAAAGTTTAAACTTTTTCTTTCAAATCAATGCCTCTCTCATTTTATTTTTTCTTAGGATGGTTTTTCCTATTTTTGGCAAAATGATTTGGTAACTTACTTTTTATCGATTTTTAAATTTTTTTTCTTATGAATTTATGCTTGATTTGTATGCTTTAGGACCCATTGGATTAATGAATCTTTTGACTTGCAAAGCTATGGGAGCTTCTAAAATTTGTATGACAGGTGAGATATATTCATTTAAGACTAAATAAAAATGTATAAAAAAAAACCCTCTAAATTTGAACAATAAATGATTTGTTATTAAAATAATCCTTTACAAGCATATAATTTTTTTTGTCTACTTTGTCTAATTTTGAAAATGTATGAATGGGAAATTTTCATTTTATTATAAGCGCATTTTATTTCATTTTATTTTATAACCATCGTTGAACAGTCGACCCAATTGGTTGGGTTTACGACAACCAATGTTCAATACCATAGCTTTGTAATTTTAAATCAAATCCAGAAGACAAGGGAACTTCCGATCAAGTATTGGCAGAAATTTGCCTTTGTATTGTTTTTTTTTTGATGGAACTAACTCGCATTTGAGTAACATGGAGAGGAAAACCATGAAAACCTCTCACGGTTAGCCTGACGGAAGGGAGAATCAAACCCATAACCCGTGTAACATTGAAAATTATTGAAACAAAGTTTGTTTGGGGCATCGTATGCTCATTCTATTTAAGACTAAGCTGTAAATAATTTATTGTAAATTTTGGGAGAATTGAGTGTTATATTCGAAGGTTTCTATGTAATATTATGTTAAACCAGATTTATCAGACTTTTTTAGGCTAGCGGTTTTTGGAAAATATATCAAAATTTCACCATAGGTCAGAAAATTAGACATATTTTTTCATTTATATTTCTGTATACAATGTTTTCTTCTACTGAATATTCCAGAAATACTTAAATGGAGATAATACAAAGGGCCAAAATGCGGTTTAGTTTGTGAAGGTCAACTCTGAAAAAGTGTGACTTATCAGTTTAGTGATCAAGGCTTTTCCACATGACGTCATTTTATTAAAAGTACACATGACGTCATTTTGGTAATTAGTTAAAAAGAGTCATTATGACTTTTTTTAACTAATTACCAAAGAAAATAGATGATATTTCTTTTATGACAAAAAATTTATCAATGAAACTTTAGTGTCAGACATTGAAAACGCAGAGCATGGATTTTTAAAAGAGTTTTACGTGATGGCCATTTCTCATGTAAAATCTTGATGGAAATCTGATGAAACATTATCAAGATTAAAATAATTAAAAATCTTTTTACTTCCTGAACGAGACTGATTAGCATTCGTTTTTGAATAAGAACAGTCTTTCAATTGTATTTTAACTAAATAAACTATTTCTGTTGATTTTAATTCCATTTTTGCCAGTTTCTCCAAAATATTAATTTGAAAGTTTTTATGATTTTATTTTTGTAGATATTCTAAATGTTTTAAGTATAGTGGTCGCGCAACACCATGAAATTGCTAAATATCTTTGTATCATAATTTTTCAGACATTAGTGATGAACGATTGGTCACTGCTAAAAAGCTTGGAGCTATTTGTGGAATGAACGTCAAGAATATTGATAGTGAGCAAACTATGGAATGTATTCACAAATGTTTGGGTGGTCCACCTGACATTACTATGGAATGCAGTGGAGCAGAATCCAGCATCAATTTTGGTCTTAAAGTATGCAATAAATGACACTGGGAAACAATTTTTGTTTTATACAGCATTTTTTTAAACAGATTTTGCGTATTTTCACGGCGTTGATTTCAAATCTGCCATCGGTTTCTCTCGCCAAGCTACAGAGTTTTTTTTCCGTAGGGATTTTATATCTGATTTTTTTTTTGCTTCTAAAGCTACAAATTGCTTAACTAACATTTTAGTCCATTTTTTATCTAAATGTTTAAGTTTGTTCTTACTGTCATTAAGGCAGAGGGGGTGCGATTGTTCTTGTTATCCTGTGGCGCCATTTATGACCAAGAAATCGACTTCAGCTGCACCCATACGTCGCACCCTTTTATAGGGCGGATTCATTCATACATCCATTCATTCGTTCACGTATCGTAATTTTGACCTGCACTAGAGAACGATCAATCTCCTATTAAGCACCCCCAGAGGTATTGATTTGTTATCGGAACATGGAGGACTTTGTGACCCGACATATTTAACCTTGCACCAGTCGACATTTGCTCCACGGGAAATCTTCGGCCTGCTGGATTCGAACTCCCGTTCTCACAAGCGTGGGTCCAGCGCTCTGCCAACTGGACTATCCCGGCCAAATGTTTAAGTTTAAAAACGATACATCAAGTACGAAATCGCATGAGTGTTGCGACAAACTTTTAAGGAAGTTTAAGCATATTATCTCGACTACAATAGCATAAAAAACCCATACTCAGAAATGTTATAATATGCCGCTAGGGATGTTTCATTATTAGAGCATGTTCAGAAGCATGCGAAGAAACTGCTCAAAATAAGAAAGCGCTCCTAGCGGCTCTTAAAAACATTTCCACGGACATGGGTTCTTATTCAATTTTTATCTTGATCATGTTCTTTAATTTCCCTGAAAGTTTATTGCAATATTTACACTACCTCCTGTTATATATAACGTTTTTAAACTTGTACAATTAAAAAAAAATAGACTGAAAATGGCATTAAAAAACGTGTAGCCTGGAGGGAAAAACCGATAGCATATTTGAAATTTGCGATGAGAAAGTATCGAAGATCCGTTAAAAAATCTCACGCAACAGAAAGAAAAAATGTTCTCCTTTATTAGTAATCCATAAATATGTAAGCTTTTATGTATTGTTAATTTAATTTTCATTATATTTTTTTCAAGTATATTTTTCGGCAACTGGACAAAAAAAAAAAAAAAAAANAAAAAAAAAAAAAAAAAAAAAAAAAAAAAAAAAAAAAAAAAAAAGTAAAGGAATTTACGAAAATTAAACTTAATTAGACGATTTAATAATAGTTTATCCTAAATAATTTTTCATGTCGCTCACACGTGGTTAAGTACTTAGCATCTAGGGAAAAATTTTGATAGCATTAAAACACTGACTCTAAGCTCTTTGATTTCTTTGCAGGTAACTAAACCTGGAGGAGTATTATTGATGGTTGGAGTAGGCCCTCCCAGAATCAGTTTGAACTTGGTCGACTCATCATTTCGTGAAGTCGACATTCGTGGAGTTTACCGTTACGTGAATTGTTTTCCTGTGGCTCTGGAGCTGGTCTCGAGCGGAGCTATAGATTTGAAAACTCTGATCACCCATCGGTACAAATTAGAAGACGCTCTAAAGGCTTTTGAGACATTTCTAACTGCAAAAGATGGTGCCATCAAAGTTCTCATTAAGTGCTCTAAGTGACAATGCGATACCGTTAATTATCTCAATGACGACTGTGCCATCAAAATTCTCATTAAGTGCTGAAAGTAATAATGCGATACCGTTAATTATCACGATGAAGACTGTGCCATCAAATTTCTCATTAAGTGCTGAAAGTAATAATGCGATACCGTTAATTATCCCAATGAAGACTGTGCCATCAAAATTCTCATTAAGTGCTGAAAGTAATAATGCGATACCGTAAATTATCACGATGAAGACTGTGCCTTTACAATTTTCATTAAGTGCTCTAAGTAATTGAGAGAAACCTCTGATGATCACATTGAAGAAAAATGTTTACATCGTATTGATAATACTGACTTTAGTTAAAATCTTCATTTGTCACTTCGGTCACTAATCCAATAGTCACATAAATCACTTCGGTCTTGCAATCTTTATTTTGTACCTTTTGGCAATGTTTAGATATAAATAAATTTCTATATTTATTGCAATAAACCCTGTATGCTATATTTATTGGACAGTTTCAGACTCTAAAGAAATACTTTACATAGATTTAAACTTGATTTGATTGCTAATGTGTATTAAGTGGGTAAATACTTTATTTATGTCTAATTAGAGTTGCGCAATAGGCTATTGGCAACGGTTTGGTAAACATCCCTGAGAAAGATCCCGAGACATGCCATCACAATTTTGATCTTTTGCAGATCTTTTGCTCCTCCGCTTAGGTAACTTGACGACTTAAGTTTCCTATTTTTCGATTCTAAACTTGCCGGTAAATACATAAAACCACATAGAAAAAATTGCAAAAAGTAGAAACCAATAGTGATGTGTTGTGTTTTTGGAAAGAACTCATAAAATCTAATTCAACATTTTTTGACCAGTTGGAGTAGACATTAGTAATAGTACTCATAATTCAGTCCTATTTTAGGGATGGATATTAGTACTCATAAATCAGTCCTATTTTAGGGACGTTACAAAACATTCATCATATATAATTTCAGAAGTTATTTTTCAGACTTAAATTATTTTTCAGCATTCGTTTTCTTTAAATTTTCTTAATAACAGCTTATTTCAAATAATCGTTTAGTAATGTGGCCTTTTTATAAGTTCAGCAAAAAAGAAGCTTTTGGCAACGTCTGGAGAAAAAAACTTTCAGTTTAAATTTTTTAATTAATTAATTAATTCATTAAGAGTGCTTTAATTGATTTGATTGTAAGATTGCTTTTTCTTGGAATCTCAAATAACTCCAAGATTTTCTTTATTTTATCAAATTTTGCTTCAAATCCAAAAAATTTGCGAATTTTTAGATTTTTTTTAATTGAATAAAACCAATTAGTTTTCAGAAGATAATTAGTAATTTTACGATTTATTTCTCGATGATTAATAATAAGATGCAAATTATTTTAGAAAAACTTTGACTTGAGCAATGCGTTATAATAAGTATGGCATTGTTGTTATTAGCTTTTAAGTTATTTCAGACTCTCTAATATCTGAAAAATGTGATTGAATATTCAGACATTATAATGGAGCTATTGACTTAATAAATAAGTTGAATAGAAAATTATTTTTGGGACAAAATTGTTTATTTATTTTTAAAAAATTTCCGTTCCCGCAAAATTTATTAAATATACGGTTAAGTACATGGATTCCTAATGTAGAGTGCTCGATATTTTGCGAAAAATCTTAGATATTTTAGAAAATGAGTATCATATTATAAAATTCGAAATCAATAAATAATATCCTCATTACCTGATAGACGTGTTCCAACTTGTGTGGAAAGTTTAATGCAGCCTGTAATCAATGATGCTCACTTTACCACAATCATCATGTCGTTGGTCTCGAAATTCTGAGTCATGAGGGCTCAGGAGATAGAGCGGTCTCCAAGGTGTCTCAGGTTCGAATCCCAGGACTGGCTGGTTGATACGAATTCTGCTAGTGGCATGCATCGACAACAATGCTGACATAAAATATCCTCAGTGGTACATTCAGGTTCATAATCATGGATCATGCGTTATAAATCCTTTGTAGTCGGGCTAGACGAGTGAGTTCTCCGTGGTATATATAAAGCCAAGGGAGATTAATTCCATCAAAAAGTTCCCCATGGAGGCTAGATTGTCCCATTGGTTGATCCAGGAGCTCCTTTGTCCTTTAGGTTGGGTTCAAAATTAGGAAGGCTACGAATTGGAAAATTGAATGTTTGAAACTCAGAATTGGGTCGAAGGTTACAATCTGGCTATAATATGTAAAAATAATATTCTCATTCATCTTTTTCTTTGTAATTTCCTGTTTGCGAAAAATTGTACTTTTAGCTGTTTTCTTTACATAGAATGAATATCGCTCGGAAATTAACTTTAAAAAAAATGTTTTTTATTCTCACTACGCTGTAAAAAAATTTAAGTGTATTTATTAACACCGAAAATGGTGAAAATTACTTTACTCCAAATAACTAAAGAGAAAAACCAGAGATTGTTTCTCTCGATTTAATCAAACATTATGGACAGTTCTGGCTTTCGTGAAACACCAAAAATGTTCTTTTACACTTCTTTCATTGTAAAGTAGTTTGCACCATTTTTGGTGCTCAGTAGCACTAAAGTTTATCCTATTACATTGCGGTATAATACACAGTTCAATCTTCTTTACAATATCCACATTAGTTAAGGTTTTGGCTCTGTTCGGCAAAAGAGAGAGAGAATCAGAGGAAAGAAGAGCTCCCCTCTTTGAAATGCGCTATTTCTCATTATCATAGCAGCACAAGGCTTAAACTTTCTGGCCAGGTGTTCTTTATAAAGACAACCTATTGCGGGGAAAAGTGCTAGATAGTTTAAAATTTTGCCTATCATGATTAGGCATCAAAAAAATCTAAAGCATCATGTCAAATAATACTGAAAGCAGGCAATTTTTGTTTTTACAATGGGTTGGTTGAACTACTAAAATCGTGTTTTTCTTAACCAAATAACGTAAAATGGCAGTGAAGTGTAAGACAAAATAATAATTAATTAATAAAGAAACATGGAGTTATTTCAGCTTTATTAATTGTGTTGGTATATATGTTTTAGTTTTGTCCAAGATGGCGCAGTGCTTCAATTATTTAATTATTTATTGATTTTTTTTTCATTCTGTGCGAAAAACGAGTATTCAGCCAGTAATTTAATAATTTCTTCTTACATTTCAAATAGGATTTTTGTGTTTTATCTTTACCGTTGTAATAGTATGTCTTATTATAATTTGTTTTCTGGTACTGAGAGTTAAAAAGGACTAAAAAATTATGGACTCTTATCTGAAAAGTGTCGGTATGTCTTCGTAAAAAATAAAAATAAATTAATAAAGGAGTTAAGAAAATAAATGAATAAAACGAAATAAATGAATAAATAAATAAATAAATAAATAAATAAAATAAAATAAAATAAATAAATAATTAATTAAAAAAACAAAATTTGCTATAAAAAACTGTAGTTTTCATTATCTTGATGTAAAGTGCATAAAAAAATAATAATGAAAAAAAAAATTGAAATACCGAAATAATTTTTGATCTAATGATCGGATCTTTAAATTATGGCTCAGCGCTACTGATTCGAGGGGTTGACCTCAAATATACCAATTAAATGCATCTGAATTATGCCATTAAACTAGTGAGGATGATATTTTAAGTTACGAAATCGGACACAAAAACGTACTTTCTAAGAATAAACATACCTATTTTCGAGAGATTCGGATTTCTGATCCTCAAAATATAGGGGGTAGCCACAATCTGGGTAATAGGGTCATAATAGTTACGTCAGAAGAGCTGTCAAAAGTTTGAAATCCTTAATGTTAATTTTACTTTTCAAATGTTATATATAGCTCCTAGAAACTTCTAAGAAAATTGGAAAATTTTAGCACACAATTGTTAAGTTTTTTTATCCAAGTATTATTCCATACAAAAAATAATTTCTAGTAATTATTTATAATTTTTTATTGTCTTATTAATTAATTGTCGAGAAAGTTTTGAATTGTAAGGTATACAATATTTTGACATAATTTTAAAGAATTAATTTTGCCTGACAAAATTCGAAATTTGTGCGAAATGGATCGAATAGTTCCTGAGAAATCAAATTTTAAGTATCTGACTTTTTAAAAATTTGATTTCTCAGGATCTATTGGTAAATTCTGACTACTAGCATCAGAAGCAACTAACTCATTTTCCCTTTTATATTTGCTTTGAAGTTATTAATTATTTATTGACATTATGAATTACAGCGATTTCAAAACGACATGCATGCTTTAAACGCTTGACTGTCTATAGCAAAACAGAGTGAATGTTCACTTTTCTATTATGCTTCATTATTCTTTAGTATTGCTGTATAATTTGTTAGTTTTCGGAAGAAATTGTCTATATCTCTTAAGATAATTAATTAATTAGTTGGGTTTACTTAGTGGAACATGATTTAAGAATCAGTTTTTCATTTTACAAACTCATAAATGAACTTTTTTTTTGTTCTCGATAAAAAATTATTGAATTATTCTCCCTTCACTTACTCATTATTTTGTATGAAAAAAGGGATGAAGAAATTGTTTAAAATTCTGATTCTATTTCAATGTCACGGTTGATTGATATGGTGTTAAAATGTTTGTGAATCTTTGCCCTAATCACTTTGTGAGAAAAAGGACTCGTTCTTACAATGGAACTGGTTGACCGCGTAATTGAAAGCATCATACATCATGCTGAGGTTATGTGCTAGAGGTGATCATACACCTATACTGAGGGAACTTTTTTCTATTCCATACTGGCACATCTGATTTATTCATTTCATACATACTTTAATTTCTCTAACACTATAATTGTCTGGTAAATACTTTTTACGTTGCTTTATACATTATTATGTGTACGATTCACCATTCCTAAAAGAACAAACAAACCCCAGGCAGCAAAATGATATTATCTAGCATTAGAGAGACGCAATATAATACTGGCCTGCTAGAAAACGCCAGTCTTCTGTATCCCATCTTCTAATATTAGAGCTAATATTATATAACGTTAAATAGTGTTCAATCTAAGATTACTGAACTTTTAAAATTATCATCTATTCCATTATATTTGGTCCAGCGCCACTTTTTTGTGAATGGCTATACCATATTATTAATAAATAAACATTTATTTATGAAAGAAAACAATAAGTCAAATATTACTTAAAATATCATTTTTAGTAAATGCTATTTAATGCCAGAAAACGCAAGAAAATATTAGTGGCAGTTCGCGAACGATACAACTTGAAACTTTATCAACTGTTGAGTTGTAATTTCTCATGATTGTTTACATCGCCATATTGTTTGACCTAGAGGAATTCGTTTGACGTACTACGCAAACGACTTAAGGTATTTATAATTTAGTAATTTTTAGTAAACTTGATAAATTTCAATGATAGTTGCATGAAACATTATAGTATTTTCGTGGTCAGTATTTTTCTGTAGTTCAGCTGGAAAAATCAGCTGTAAATCAGCTAGAAAATTAATATATAGCACGATGTGTTAA